CTTCTCAAAGAACCAGCTCTTCTATTAGTTGATTCTTTGTATTGTTTTCTTTGTTTCAAGCTCATTAATTTCTGCCCTTATTTTTGTTATTTCTTCTTGCCTGCTGGGTTTGGGTTTCATTTGCTGTTGCTTTTCAAGTATGTTTAGTTGCAACATTAAGTCATTTATTTGTGTTCTTTCCGATTTTTTGATGTAGGCACTTAGAGCTATAAACTTTCCTCTAAGGACCACCTTCAGCCTGTCCCAGAGGTTTTGTTGTGTTGTATTGTCCTTTTCATTTAGTTCCAGGAATACTTTTATTTCTTTCTTAATTTCTCTTTTGACCCATTCATCATTCAGGAGTGTGTTGTTTAATCTCCATGTGTTCATGTGGTGATTAGGGCTTCTTCCAGTGTTGATTGTAAGCTTTATTGCGTTGTGGTCTGATAGAATGCATTGAATTATTTCAGTCTTTTTGTATTAGTTGAGGTTTGTTTTGTGCCCCAGTATATGGTTGATTTTGGAGTAGTTTCCATGGGGTGCTGAGTAGAAAGTATGTACTTTGGTGCTTGGGTGGAATACTCGATACATGTCTCTTAATTCCATTTGATATGTGGTATTGTTTAATTCAGATGTCTCTCTGTTAACTCTCTGCCCTGTTGACCTATCTAATGGAGACATTGTGGTATTGAAGTCTCCTGCTATTAATGAGTTCGGATTAATCTGGGTCTTAAAGTCCTGTAGTATTGTTTTTATGAAGTTGAGTGCACCAGACTTTGGTGAATATATGTTCATGATTATAATATCTTCTTGATTTAATGTTCCTTTGATCAGAATGAAATGGCCCTCTTTATCTCTTCTGATTAGTTTTAAAGTCTATTTTGTCAGATATTAGAATTGCTACACCTGCTTTTTTCTTAGTACCATTTGCTTGGTATATTTTTTTCCATCCTTTCACTTTAAGATAGTGACAGTCCTTGAAAGTGAGATGGGTTTCTTACAGACAACAAAAGATGGGTTTTGTTTCTTATCCCATTCACCTCGTCTGTGTCTTTTGACTGGGGAGTTCAGTCTGTTAATGTTTAAAGTTATTAATGAAAGATGAGTATTGAATCCTGTCATTTTTATTTCTCTTTACATTCATGATATAGCTGTACTTTTCCACAGTTATACCTTCATTGAATTTCTTTCCGCAACCCCTTGGGTACAGTTATTCCTTTCTTCAGGTCTTTGTATTGTGTCCAGAACTCTCTGAAGGGCTGGTTTTGTGGACACGAATTCCTTCAGCCTATTTATGTCATGGAAGATTTTTCTTTCCCCTTCGACTGTAATAGATATTTTGGCTGGGTATAGTAATCTGAGTTGGTATCTGTGGTCATTTAAAACTTGGAATGCTTTGGTCCAGGATCTTCTGGCTTTCATAGTTTGCACTGAAAAGTCTCCTGTAATCCTAATGGGTTTTCCTTTATAAGTGACTTGTTGTTTCTCTTTTGCAGCTTTCAGTATTGTCTCTTTGTTTTGTACATTTAGTAGTTTTACTTTGTTGTGCCGTGGATAGTTTCTTTTCTGGTCCTGTCTGTTAGGTGTTCTGTATGCTTCTTGTATTTGTATGGGCATGTCTATCTTTAAGTTTGGGAAATTTTCTTCCACAATTCTGTTGAAGATCTGGTCCATGCCATTGTCTTGGGATTCTTCTCCTTCTTGTATGCCTATGATTCACAGGTTTGGTCTTTTTATGGTATCGCTCAATTCCTGCATATTCCATTCTTGTGATTTCTTAAATTTTTTATAGTCTTTTCTTGAGTGGTCCAGTTCATCCACTTTGTCTTCCAGTCTTGATACTGTTTTCCATTTCATTCATCCTATTGGTGAGGCTTTCTCCTCTCGTTTCTAATTGGCTTACTTAGTGCTTCACTTCCTTCTTCATGTCAGTCTGAGTATTCTTCAATATTTCTAACTCTTCTGAATTCATTCAGAAGTTTATCCCTATCTTCCTTCAGTTCTTTGATTTCTTTTTTTG